GTCTAAAAATGGCCCTATAACAGGAGAATTTAATGACTATGAAAGACAGGTGATAATTTTGGCAGCAACATCAATGTTTTAATGTAGCATTTTGGTGCGATTATGCCGACAAACAAATTGGCTAAAAAAGAAGATCCATCCATCTGTTATAAAATTCCATTATACAAACTACTGTATGACTCTATGATCAGTTGTTTTTTTTTTGGGTTTACAACTGGTGAAGGCTGTGTCTAGCATATTTCTGTGTAGCTTATCCAAGTGACAGTTGTATGAAAGATGATTGCCAACAGTGACTCACTCTTTATGCAGATTAGAGACTCACATGAATCTCTCTTTGCAGGTTCTCCTTTGATGTTCTCCTTTAGTGACACTGAGGGTCTTGTCATACTCACCTTTCTCAGCCATTAACAAGAATCACAATCAGTCCACCTGTTTTATCATGCTGTAGAATCACAAATATAGCTTTAAGGTAAACTCCAACAGGATTTCCACATTATGCCCAGTGTTTACAAATGCTGCTTTAACAATGAGAAACACCCCCTTGGATCAAATATAACTATAGTTATCCAGTAGTAATAATAGATCAATGTATAGACTTTAGGCCATTCTTGTGTAAAACAAAGATGAATACACCAGTATCACCACAGGCCCACTGTTAAGTATGGTGGAGGATCTTTAATTTCTTGGGTCTGTTTGACACTAATAAAATATGTATAAAAATTTAAATGTAATGCTTCATCAGGGTAATGATAAATGTATAAAAAAAATCAGCACTAAAATATACCACTTAGATATTATGTCAGCCTTTGTCCTCAGACTTTAATTCTTGACTGCCTGTAGGTGGAGCTGAAGAGAGGAGAGCGCAGTGAGACAATCCTGTACTTTGGATAGGCTCTGTCTTTTTAAATTAAATCCTAAATCGAATGGAACAGAATAGCAGTGCAAGCAAATGCAGCTGCAATGGCTTTGCTAACCTGTTTCTTTTATTTTTTTAATGAACAGCAGGGAATCCATTATTGTTCTTCGTGCACATGCAAAATGACCAATAAAGACTTGTAAAATTAAACTAAATAAATATGACACTAGCTACTAAGTAGTGTTGTAATTTTAAAATGGATTTGGAAATACCAATAATTCTGTGATCAAGGATTTTCTGTTCTTGGAATTAAATTAATTAAATTTAAAGACTTTTTTTTTTAATGTCCTATGTAGCTGTATTAACATTATGTTTTCCAGGAAGCAGCAAGGATGGAGGCATCTTTAATTTCAAAGGTCTCTACAATATTGCCAGTATATCTCATTGCATTCTATACTGCGTTATAAAATAATTGTTTTTTGTAGTTAGTTAACTCCAAAGTGTTTTGCTGGATCAGTTTGGTTTTCATTTCAGATATTATTTGAATTTGTTGCAGGATAATCTACTTAAGTTTGACTCAATATTATGTAACAGCACATTTAACTGGCATGTAGTTGCGGGCAGTGGGCTCCCAGACTGAATATTGTCATATTTTTTCCAGTTGGCTTCTTTTCCCTTTGCATTTCACACATTCTTGCTGTGATATTATGTAAACACAAGTGACAACCAATAAACGTTAGTAAGATACAGTTAAAAATGCAACTCTTGATGTTTGTTTGCATGTTTACTTCTAATGGAAAATATATCTTAGTTAAAACATCATGTGGTGTGTGTTCCTCTCTTTGATATAGCCTCTAAATATGCTGTTTGTTTAATTTCACAAATATCTTAAGACTCTACTCCCTCATTATTTATTGATAAAACAGTACGGTAAGCTAAAAAACAGGCTTGGAGATGTTACACCCAGAATAAGGATTTGTTGGATATTGGTGGGTGCCACTTTTAATATTACAGACTCTTACTTGTGCATCAAAGTTGTAAATCAGGCAGGAACATCTCCCCATGCCTTAAACATGAGCTGGTTTTACATATTAGGAGCTGTCCTCCAAAAAGTCACTGAGCCTGGACACATTCCTTGACTCCCCAGTTTGTGGGGTAAAACAGGAGGAGGGGAAGTGCCTCGGAAGCTCATTTCCCACTGACATCAGCTGAACCACTTAATGCTTTCGGATGTGATTATTTGAACACTCCGAGCTACATTTGTGAACACAAACATAAGTAAATTACAGTGCATTAACATTATTATGAGCATGTAAACATCAGAGCTGATGGCATAGAGGTCATTTCATATCACCACTGTGCTGTGAGGGAAAGGAGTGCATTAGTCTTGTTTCCATAAAGCTTAGGAATGCAAATGGTATGTGGAGAGATGATGTGTTATGTTTTGAAATCGGTATTTTCAGTTCTTCCTGAAATGCTATCATTGGGGAGTTTCTCTTTCTCATCAAGCAAAAGGATGACCTAAAAAAGACATATAGCTGCTATTTAATGCAATTGGAAAGAATAGTGAAACATCGCCCTTCAGGTTGCGTTTCAAAAGTAATTTAATAGATAAAAAAAGACTTAAATTATTGAAAAAAATGTCTCTTCTGTATTTTTCTATTTAAATTGTACAAAAAGATCCAAAAGGATATTTGGAGAATAAAGGTATTATATTATTTGTTACGTAATAATAATCACAGCATTCTGTTATTTTTTTTTGTTGTATGCAATGATAATATTATTAAATATATTGTATATAATACCAAAGTAACATTCTCACAAAGGTTCTCATTCATAAAACAAAAATCTGTTTAATCAACTTTTCGGCTTGCTTGTTCATCATAATTCTTTCCAAATACTCATGTCTTCCCTTCAATATTTTATTGTGGAGTGGAACTTGCGCAGTTTGGTTGCTGTTCTTGTTCCACTGGCTCTGCGTCACTGAGAAAACCCCTCTCAACATTTACATTGTGTGTGGGAAGTGCAAAGACAAACTGCAATCTTCAGTCATCCTGAGTTGTATTGGTTTTGGGCTTTGGTCCATGTCTCAGGGAACCTGACCATTTTCCTGAGTTTACGAATGAACTAAGTCAACATGCACTGCTTCTTTGTATATTTCTAGGTCAATTACACCTACAGGATCTATGGTACAATACCCTTTCCATACACAGAAAAACATAGGTCAGCTTTGTACACAGTGTGCTCCTCTCCCCAGTTTTTCTGACTGGGATGGTATGAGGAAGTTTTTTTTAGGTTATCTTTAAGGTATTAGTTGCCTGTTGACATGTTGTAAACATCAGCAGTGACGCTGCTGATGCTGGGCTGCTGTTCTGCCTGAGAGCAGAGAAGAACTACCAGCACAGCAGAAGGTCAGCAATGACATCACACCAAAAAAGGGCTTTCATATTCGATGAATCGCACCAGTCAACAATTATATGCTCTATGCGCATGTAAAAAACGAGGAAAACTGGACAGTTTCATTAATTTTTAATTTTACTCTCAGACAGAATATGAAAAATTGTAGCTCACTTGCAAATAGTATTATGTTAAAGCAAACCTCAATAAATAAAGTGCACTTTTAGTCTGAAACAATTACAAAATTAAAGGACTTTCCTGGTGTGATTAGAATTAAACCATGTTTTTTTCACAACATTGTTATTCAGTGTCTCCACATCGCAGCCACTGAAAATCATTGTTTGACATTAAAGGCAGTTCAAGCAGTGACTTTCTGCTTCAGTTTTGTACAAAATGATACTGGAGTGACAACTGTGATTTCATATATATATTGTGCAGCTCAGCTTGAAAAAAAATAATTTATGTTGGTTAAAATAAGAAATAAAAAATAAACAAAAAATGTTTGGTCACTGAAAGAACAAGGCTGTAGTTAGGCTGTAATTACTTTAAGCACTAAAAGATGTAAGATCATTATTCAAAGCATTTCTTCCTTTTCTGTAGTTTACAGAAAGTTGACATTTTTAAGTATCTTGAGAATATTATACTTGTGATTGGCGCAGTTGGAGTGATGAATATAGCTAATTAAATGACCTCAAGATTGTATGATTTTGAAATTTTTTGAAACAAATTGAAATTTAAAAGAGTAAAAAGAGCAAATAAGCCATGATATATTCAGCCTTCCTGTTATCTGCTTTATGTCCTACTCTCTTCTTTTATCTTGGACCTATATGAGCTGCAAGCATGTCTCAACATGTAAAGCAGGCTCCTTAATAGCTTATTGCATCTCTGTTCTTTGTCTTTCCTGTAGTAAGCCAACTACTACTCCAAAGACTTTAGTCACTATAACCTGGTAGAGTTTGGTTTAATATATTCTCTGATCAGGAGCATGTAGGATTTGTGAGTTTTCAACGTTTACTGTTTACTGTCTGTTTCTCTGATTTGTTTTCCCACAAGGTAATCTTTTAAATTCAAGTCCCCTCAGTGACGATTGGGAAATCAATTCAAAGGGGAAAAAAAAGGTGGAAATAATGTTTTGACGGGTGCTATTTGACTTAGACTGGACTTGGACAAACTTTATTGTAATTTTTTTATACAGGGTGTATGCAAAATGATGTGATTGTGGAGTTTATAAGATTTAGATGATGAGAACCTTGAAAATGCTTTCAGACACAATAAAAGCATCTCAAAACACCCTGAAAGGGAGCGACAGAAGTGATGGTTCGATGCCACTTTACCTCTGGTAGGGATTTTGCATATGTTCTTGTTTTCTGCACTGTGTGCAAATTTATATTCAAATGAAATGCTCATTTGTTCACATACAGGAAGTAATTTCCCAACAAAAGGAATCATTCCACCAACTGAGTCTAAATGTAACAACTTTACTTAACTGCACTCAGTTTGAAAAAATGCTTATAAAGATGAATCTACCTCATACATATATGTATACAATCTTTTCTGCAGACTGTCGCTCATGCGCACCATCTCTCCCTCCCTCCATATTCCTGCCGGCTTCCCCTCTCTCTGCGTACTCACACACTGTCGCTCTCTTTTCCTCACTCCCTCTCTCTCTCAAACACTCACACATGCTCACGCTCTGCTCAGCTCTAAAGGAGCAGTAGCTTATAAGCTGGCTGCAGTCAGTAGTCATTCTCTTATGGTAGCGAGAGAAGGGAGGGAAAGAGAATTTGCTTGACTGAGGGAACCAGAGCTCTGCTGACCTAACTGGACTTGTCCATATTTCTCTCTGCTTTTTTTAAATTTTATTTCCTTTTTCTTTTTTTTCTTTTTTCTGGCTAACCCACATGTGCCCCTATAGAATTTTACCATGCAGCTCTGGGATCAAATAGACTGAATTAGCAAAGTTGAACTCATCCTGGGATTTCTGCTCCTGGATTGGGAGGAGTTCTTCTGCATGTTTGGAGGATAGAGGGCTGGAATGGAATTCCCATCTACTTTGCATCCTTTGGTGTTTTTTCCTCCTGCCTTCGTCTTCTCTCTTACACTTTTACTGCAGACATCCAGTGTTGTGCAGACAAAGGCAGCTTGCTGCTGTGCCTTTTTTTTGTTCATGGAGAATAAGGGTGGACAGGGAGGTCCTCATCTCTTTTAATTCATCTAGTTTTGCGAAAGGAAGATGCCAGTCTGAGAAATTACCTGCAGATTTGCTTTTTTTTTTTTTTTACCTCATCAGAGTGTAAACTTGGACTTTTGGATTACTGCTATTTTCAGATTTGCCACAGATCTTCTTCGTAGAAAGTGCTACCTGTAGCACTGAATTTACCTTATCTTTGACATTTTTCTCAACCATACTCACATCTAATCCACATTGCTTCTGGTGGAGGCCGTGGTGGTGAAGCCGGGGTAGGCATGGCGCAGCAGGGAGGCACAGGGGTGGCCCACCAGGACACCCTGGCAGTGCCCCCTATGCCCAAACACTCCGGCCTGAATGAAGACCTGGTGAAGATCCTACGGGAGAATCTGCTGCAACCAGAGAGGCCGCGGGGACACCGGCGCTCACCGTCCTCCATCTCCCCGCGCCTCTCTCCCCGCAACTCGCCAAGACTGCTGCGACGCATGTTGCTCAACAACAACATTCACAAGCAGAGGCGCTTCACTGTCGCACATACATGGTGAGGGTTATATGTCCAGCACTGTGTTCGCATACAGAGCGCTTTTAATCTCAGGGGTTTCCTTTTGGCCATAACAGGTTTTAGCTGCACACAGTGCAAACCTGCAAGCTTGAACTTTGTTTGTTTAATGTTCTGTCATAGGGAAGTTGCAGTGCAGTAACCCCATGAGTCATTAAACTTTGTTTGCTGTATAACTTGAACCCTGGGAGAAACGGAAGACGCATGTGTTAGCAAATACCCCTTCTAAATTCCCTTTTGTGAAATCACCTTGGAAACCCTCTTCTCGCCTTTAGATAATGAGTTTCTGCTTGGCTCTTTCTCACTTTGCAGCTTCGTTTCTGTTCCAGTGTCTCTCCCTCTCTCTCCTCTGTATGGCTATTAGCCATTCTTACTCTTCTTTCCTTATTATCATCTATCCCTGTTCCCCATGCCTTTACTTTATCTGCAGTTATGGTCTTGTAAAAAAATAAAAATAATAAAATTGGCAATAATGTAAAAAATCTAACCTATTATGTCAAGTATAGAAGCCCACTTGCTTTGGTTTTCTTTCCACACCTCACTTGCCTGCATTTTTTGACTATTAATTAATCTTCTATTCCTGTCTGTCGCCCCCACGTCATACCCTTTCTTCGAGTAATATCTTTTCCTTTCTGCACCTTTCCTCTCCTCCCAGCTCTCATTTTCTGCTTCTAACTGATGATATCTCCTCCCTCTTCTCCCCAAGACTTCCCTTTCCATCATCATCCTTGTTCATTTTTCATCACCTTTTCTCCTCAATTTTTACCCCCCCATCATGGCATTCGTTTCACATACATCATCTGTCCCACTTCTGCCCCCAGAAGAAGACCTCTTCATATTGGCATGTGAATCAGGCATTTGCAATTCAAAAAATCCTATCTTTACAAACACATCAGGACCTCAGCTATTCCAGCACAGTTATCAGATGAAAATGTACTGTAATTGGTAATTAGGTCCAAATCACAAATATTGCAGTTTAATAATAAAGGCAATGAACATATCAGTTCATATAGTGCCAGTTCCTAACTCAAAGCACTTTACAAAACAATCAAATTATAAAGACAGACTGGTTAAAGGTTTTCTGTCTAAGTCAATTCATTAACTTGAAGTGGCTTGGGTTTTTTTTGTTTTGTTTTGTTTTCTGGGGCTTTGCAGCATGTAGGAGAGTGTCGTAATGGAAGCTTCCTAAATTTTACACTGTCATTTTTAAACCACAGACCAGATTATTTTATTAGGAGTTGAGGTTACAGCCAAACAGATTTCCATATTTGACTGTGCCTATGCTTAAAGATCCATAGGTTGCTTCTTTCCCAATCATTCCATTGTACTGTAGCTTTGGCTGTATGTTAAGGGTCACTGTCTGCTGGAAGGTTAATCTCCACCTCAGTCCTCCGTCATTTACAGCTTCTAACAGACCTTTGTTCATTATTACCCTGTGTTTAGGTACACCCAACTTCCCATAAACTCATGTTACCAGTCCATGCTGAAAAAAGCTTCCCCAAAGCATGTACCTGCTACTTCTATGTTTCACAGTGTGGATGGCATGACTGGGGTTATGTGTTGTCTTAGATTGCTGCAACTTGTAGAGGCTTTCTATGTTGGTTAAAAAGCTCCATTTTCGTTTTTTTTTTCTGACCTGAACCTGTTTTAAATCATTTTTGTTTCCCCTATATGTTTTGTGAAAAGCTTAAACCAGCATAATTTACCTCTTTCTTAACAATAGTTATCTTCTAGCAAAGGTAAAGAATAACGTAAAAAAAAAAGTTAAATTCAACCCTAAAAGAAAGAAAAAATGAAAAGGAAATTGAATGTCAAATGAAAACATAAGACCACCAGCAAAATATAGATTTTTGCGATTTGATCCTGCGATCTGAATGTTGTTTTTTTTTTTGTCATATGATATTAATAGTATTCATCAGGAAAAGAAAACATTACCTACACCTTCAGCTGTGACTGTGATATTTTACACTAGGCACCAATATAGCAGCGAAAAAATTCTCACAGGAGTAATTTTTTTGGGTTATTGGCCATTTTCATACATGCCAGCCTTCTGTCTGAATACGGATGTATCTTAGTCTCAGTCATTTTTCCTGTTTAGTTATGTTTCCTTATCTTTTTATATTCAATTGCATCCTTATATTTTTTTACTGCATTCAGCTCCAAATTTCTGGGGTATTTGAGGATTTTTATCTTTACTATAAAATAGCTAAAAACATAAAAACTAATAAAAGACCTGATAAATTTATACATAATATGAATATAACTGTAAATACACAAATGATCCACTTCAGAAAAAAAAGGCAGTTAATTGCTCTTTCAAAGATATGTTATTAAAATTTTCCCATTTAGATAATTGCATGCTTAGTTTTATATTAATTATTTACATATATCATCTTGCTAGAATAAAAATTTGAAATCTAAATATTTTTGTGGGATGAATGTTTTTGTTTATCTGTTGGAATTTGAAAGACCGATAGATAACGTTCCATCTGCCATGTTTTCTGAAGTTAACACGTATTTACTTTCCTTCCCTGAATTGAAATCTGTTTAGTTTAACCCTAACTTGATCTTCATAAAGAAATTACCTTTGTCCTTGAAACATAAGGGCCGTTATCCATATGTATATGCAACACATGTCAGTGGTCAGGAGTGGAGATGTACTATAACACCTGCCCGAAGAAACTTGTATTATAATATTTTTCTAATGGTTGTTGCAAAAAGGACAATATATGAGAGAGGGCACAGCAGGATGTGAGTAATAAGAAAGTAAAAAAGAGCACTTAATCAGAGTGTGACGTGGTCATGCCCTTGTGTTGTAGTGACTGAGTGAATGTCACAGAGGAATAAAGTAAGCGTAGGGGGCTTGGAGAAAATGAGCCTGTACATGTGTAAGCCAATGGTAGAAGACAGAAATAATTTGTAATAGAAGAAAGGAAAGAAAAAAAAACATGAGAAGCAGGTGAGTGGTTTGGATGTTGATAACTGCTGTGTAATTTACTCCAATCACATCCTCATTGTTTTAGAGCTGTAGGGAACACAGGTCCACCGTGGTGTAAATTTGGTGACATACAGTACACTGTCCTCAGTGGCTCCGCTCCACACTTCATTAACAAGAAAATCCTTCTCCATGGGCCGATTGGCCTGATGTACAGCTTTATGGGGTAAACGCTCTGAATACCATTCACAAATTGTTTAACAGCTCCTTTGAGAATGCTTTAGAAAAAGCATCTCCAGAGCTAATTGGCTTCTCTGGCCCTAAATATATTCATTGCAGGTAATTGTTAGCATTGACACAATGGAGATGTGTTCATTGAGAATAATGTTAAATGTGATTATGTAAATTCTATTTTCTTTAAGCTTGAGCTACATTGCTTGACGTTTAAGCCGTCATTTCATGGCTGCAAATGTCAAAGTTCTTCATAAATTTTTGTTATAGACGATCATATAAATCAAAAAGATAAACTTGGAGCTAAAGGACATAGATACATGCTGTTTACAGCCACATTTGCAATTGTGGCTGTAATTCTTTGAGGTTGTCTCTCTGCCAGTCTTTTCATATGTAGAGAATTAAATCTTTATTTGTTTTTTTGTTGTTGTTTTACTCTGCGAAAACAGACAGACACATTAAACAGTAAATATCTAGGTACATAAATTATCTACATTTTGTCAAAATCTAGGTCCAGGGCCTTCTAGCAAATACACATACTTTGATCCAAACAATACTCTTGTAGCTCTGTCTTTGAGTCATCGTTCCCTTGGTAGACAAATCTCCCTAGGGTCAAGTTCTCTGCTGTCTCTTACTGCTGCCTTGCTCCTATTTTACTGTAACATAGCACATTGTTCCACGGGTTTTCTTATGGTAAACTGCTGATCTCTGGATTCCCTCCTGAGTTACAATATTATTGGCTTCTTGGCTGCTGCTTTGATTAACGCTCTTCTTGCCTGGCCTGTCATTTGGTGGATGGCCATGTCTTGGCAGCTCTGCTGTTGTGATGTGCTTTTTTCTCTCTCAGATAATGGATTAAATAGGGATTCATAAAATGAATAAATTGATATTGTTTCCTAACCTAACTCTGCTATAACCTTCTGCACAGCTCTGTTGCCTGGTCTTCATGATACTGTTTGTTCAATAATGTTCTCTAACAACCTTCTAAGGCCTTTGTGGCCTTTTAGGCTGTGTGAGTAACTGAAACAAATTATTGTTCTAGATTGGACAGATGATCACCACTTTGGACCAATTTTGATGTATTTACTGTTTTATTAACATTTTACATAGAGAATATTGTGAATATTTTCATTTCCCATAAATCCCATATTATAATAAATCAGGAATCGTTGTTAAATTTCTTATACCCCTTTCCCACTCCCCGAAAAACCTGTTTAAACCTGGGAACAATCCGCTTTTAGTGACGGTGGGAACAGCTCTCTGATGCATTTCTTTCCGGGTGAAATGACTCGGCATGCGACCGGTGTTAAAATCGCCTCAGCTCTGATCGGCATTCAGTGGGAAAACAAAAGCCGGGTTGACCCGCTAGACTATGTGACAATATTGAACGCAACGCATAGATGTCAGCACATTGCGCCAGCCACGTCTGATTTAACAAACTGAAACAACTCCGTTTACATTTGATAAATTTGGCCCAGGACTGGTGAGACAGATTTGGAAAGATAACAGAGCGAAACAATAAAGCTACGCTGACTACGCCCTGGCTTCCTTACATGTTGCTCTCCACTGTTTAATTTCCTTATTTCTGTTGCACAAAGCTAACCCAGCATGATGGTGTCACCAGACACGCAGCTGTGGGGGGGCAGAGGCCACACAGCTTGCCAGCTATGGGTTAGACCCAGCTTTTTTTTTTTTTTTGCCAGTGGGAAGGGAGGCAAATGCCGATTGTTAGTGGGTCTACCCATGTTTGAAAAACTTGCAATAATATGCTATTTTCAGTCGGAAAGAGGCTTTGGTGAATCACAACTGACCAGGG